CACACACACACATAGAATAAAATAATATTTTTTCTTTATTTATTTATATATATATACAGGAAACTTTATTTTAAATTAAGTTAAAAAACAATCTTCTTATATTACATTAAAAATATTTTGTTTACTTTTCTTGCATTTATTTGGATAGATAACTTTTAAACATTGTAAGATCAAATAAAAATTTTTTATTATAACTTAAATATAATCTTTCACTAAGACCTGTGTATAGCCAATAATAAAATAATAAGAAACCAGTGAAGATGAATATCCAAAGGTTTACTTTTACTGGGTAATATTTACCTTGAATTTACAGACAAAATAAATTAATTGAATTGATCTTTAGTAATTTTTAAGAGATGAATAACATTTAGTATTTATATATGAAGAATGTTTATTATTACATTATTTTTATCAAATATAATTTTTGAATTTTATTATAAAAGTTCAAAACTTTAACATTTTGACTTTAAATTATTTTTGATTTATAAATTTTCTAAAAATAATTATTTCAATATTAGATTTCAAATTAATTATTATACATAAAAATAAAACACCTTAATTTGTTGCTGAGAAAATATATAATAAAAAAAAACCTTTTCAGCCCAATTAATTATTATAGTTTAACTTGAAATATTTTCATATTTAATATGAAAATGTATTTAAAAACCCATATGATATTTTTTGATTATAGATAATTTTTATATTGATTATTAATATATAAGCTTATATATATTTCTCTTCCATTTGTTATTTTTCCTGAAATTACTTTAGATCAGCAGACACACAATAATGTCAGCACTTAATTAATCATCTGTTACCATAGATCACAACAGCTGCTAGCTTGTCACTGTATGGTTAACCAATTAGCCAGAAGGATGGATCTGAACAGGATTTGAACCTAGATCCATTTGGCAATGTGTATGGAGTTAATGTTGCATTGCTTGCTATTCTGAGTCACACTGTACATTCTACATTTATTTAAATTTAGCAATGATAAAATGTTTAAAACATGTTTTAGAAATAAATACTAAATCTAAATCTTTTTTAGATAATAATACTTTTAATTAAGATATACTATGGTAGATACTGTATATTAAAAATAAAATAAAATTTTATAAAAAGGTTATGCTATGAATTTATTTTACAATAGTTTTTAAATTATGTAGTTTAACAAATTTTTTTAACTTGCACATCCTATTGAATAATTATGCAATTAGTTTAATCAGTATAGATTAGTCAAACATTATTAATTCATTTGATATACATAGCAGTGTTTAAAATTACGACAAAGTTCATCATTTTGAATTTAAGATACATTTCTTTTATGCTATTAAATATGTTATTTAAATAGAATTGAAATGCATAAATTTTATTTTTTAATTCCAAAACTTTTATAGGAAATTTACGTGAATAATCTTATTATTTATTCCAATTTTATTAAACAGGAAATATGCAATTATGATTAATTAATTACTAAACTTAAATTTTAAAATGAAGTTATTGTTATAAGAATTTTTATGACATTTGTATATTTTACAAAACATACATTGTATTTTAAAAATTTATCTAATTGAATATTTTACTTATCTAATTGCAAAATATATTTAAGAATATTTATCATGGTTATTAATATTTAGAAAAAAATTATAAATATTTTAAAAACTGTAATATTAGAGATTTAATGGACTTAACTCTAAATATTTATGAGTATAAATAAGTAGAATTTTAATAACCAAACTTTGTTATGGTAATCTGATGCTTATTTTAAAGGCATATCATAAAGCAATTACTGTATCAGTTTCAAGGAGTATAATCAACTTTTGAAAAACAACTGATTTTATTTTCTTCTAAAGTTTCAATGAATTTGAATTTAATTAAAAAGTTTTTTGTTTTTGAATAATAATTTTAAGAGCAATTCAAAATTATAAGACAAATAAATTACAAAAGCATTCAAAATCAAGAACTTTTATATTTTTTTAATATGTATTTTAATTTTCATGATTTATTTTATATTAAAAATAAATCATGAAATATCAATAAAAAAAAAAATAAAATGAAAACATTTTAAAAGTTAAGTAAAATTTTAAAAATATATTTATTAAAATTATAATGGGATGTAATATCATTTTTACATTTAGAGGAAATTGATTATCTGAATGTATTTAATATATATTTTTTAAAATTATATCTTAATTGTTGTTCAAAGCTGAAAGTTCAAATTGCTGTTCATAATTTTATTAAATATTGTGCTTGCTAGTATTGTTTATTTAATGTGTTATTACTTGTCATATGTTTGACGTTCAAAATTTACTTTAAAGTATAGACTAAACAATAATAGCATCAAACATTTCTAATCCTTTATCTATCAATAATAATTAAATGTTTATTGTTGTAGGATTTTCAAAGATACAGGCAGCTAAAGTAACAGAAATGCATCACAAATTACAAAATAGTGCAGCAGCTGAACAAGGATTTGGAATATCTTTAAAAGATTTACCAATATCTTTTAAATTTCTCATTTATAATCCAACATTTTTGTTTTTGAGTTTTGCAGGAGCAAGTGAAGGTAAAGCAATTATTTCCATTTCAAATTATGTATCATTTGTTTTAAAAAAAATAAATGAAATAAAAAGAAAATAATAATTAGAACTTTGATGACATTTAATTAATTTTTTGTTAAATTATGTTCACAAATTGTTTCTATTTCAAATTCAGTTTAAATACAAAATAAAAAATGATTATTTTAAATGAAGATAGAAAAGAATCATATAAAAACTGAAAATATTATTGTATTTTTGTATCCTATATTAAAAAAGTCAATTTTTTCATAGTGTTTGCTTTTCCAGTTTTTATATATAGATATAATTTCTTTAATAGTAAACCATGTTTATTTTTCTATTCAGCTTTTTTTTTCATTTTTTCTTGATATCAAAAGCTAATATGAAAAACAAGCAAATCTACAGTTTCAGTTTATTATGTACCAAAAAAAAAACTGATTATCAGATTATTGTGCAGTTATCTATATTATTTGTTTACTTAAAGAATTTTAATTTATTTATAATAAATCGAGAAGATAAAATTAAAAATACAAAATAGTACCCTATTGTGATATTAATTTCAATAAATATATTATTAATAAATAAATTATATGTACATATATAAATTATAAAGCAATATACTAATACTAATTATTTTGTAAGCAATTATAATGCTAATTGTTAAAATAGGAAAATAAAAAAAAATTATAAATCAAAATACACAAAAAAAAATATATTTTTTTAAAGAATTTTCTCAAGTTTAAATCCAATTTAAATTGCTTTTTTCAAAATAAAAATAAAGAAAAGCAGTTTGAATTGCATTTACATTAGAAAATTTTTTATATAAGAAACTAAAAATTTATTGATCCTTAATATATTAATTACAATTTATGAATTTAACTATAATTAAAAATATAAATTGCAAAAATTCAAAAATTAAATCAAATTTCATAATTTGAAGAATCATTTACTACAAAAATTTATTATCATTAAATTATCTAGTGAAATTGGTTAGTTATTTTTAAATTGTTACATATGTTTATGTAATATTGATTAAAGTTATGAAATCCTATAATTTAGGGGTCATTCATCATGTGTACAGTTTAAAGAGAGAGGTGTTTGTTGAAAGTTGAATTTTTTCTTCCCATTGGAAACAATGGGAAGAAAAAAGTTGAGACATTATCTACTGCAATTTTTTAGTGGTGTTAGTGGCATATGCCTTTTTACCATACTATTCATGTGAATAATCTATCAGTTAGAAAATGTCTTCAGAACTTGGATCATTTCTTCAATTCAGGGGAGGGAGTTTGCCAAAAGTATATCATGCATGCACAAGGAGAGAAAGGGTAAAAATTGCTCAAAAACTGTATGTGTAATTCATGGATGGCACTTAGAACATTTAAAAAAATCTTTTATATATAAATTAAATATAAATAAATAAA